AGATTCTTGACACACAACAGAAGGTGTTGAGGAACAAGACGATACCAATGGTGAAAGTCCTTTGGAGACACCACGAAGTCGAGGAGGCTACTTGGGAGCTCAAACAGGAGGTTCGCTCTAAGTATCTAGAGTTGTTTTCTTCTCCAGGTATGTCTTGATTTCGGGGACGAAATCTTTTTTAAAGTTGGGGAGAATGTAATGTCTGTGTCTAATATATATATATGCGTGTGCATATGTGTATATATTTGTGTGTGTGTGGTGTAGTTTAAAACAAAAAGAAAAAGGAAAATAAAAAGGAAAGTGGGTGGGACCCATAAGCTATTTAGATTAGTGGCATTGGGTTGATTTCATTTCTGCATTCTCACGTTCGGCTCTTTCTCTCGCTCACTGGTTTTTTTTCTTTGTCTTTTCCACATCAAATTCAAGGCTTGATTTCTCCATCATTTCTTGGTAGATTTGAGAGCTGTTTGAGACAAAACAAAGCCTACGACGAGCTCTACGCGCTAGTGTAAGCAATTTCAGATTTGGTGCTTCCTAGGGAGTTCAAAATTAGAAACCCACTTTCAAGGGTTTTGTTCAATTTAGAGGTAGGGGCTCTTAATCCATAATTTTCTTTTACAGTTGTGCTAAATTGATTACTTTCATATCTTATTTATTGCATAATTGGTTATACTGTTGATTAAAAATTGTATTTCTATAATTTGTGAAAATTGGCCATTGACTCTATTCACCCCCCTTCTAGAGTCAATTCTTGGGTAACACAGAGTTCTATACTCTTTCTTTATTTCTAACAGTTTTGTTGCTTGTATATTGCATTTTCCAACTCCGAGAGTCACAATTCTCTAATAGAGAATACGATGAGGCCAAGAAGGAGTTCCAAAAGATCTGTGGTGTGGACGATGTTGACGTAATGATTTATTCAACTGGTTGTTCCAGTTTAGCATAATAATCTGCATACTGATAGCCAATGCGGCTAACTTTTTCATTATAAAGTTTAGCCATAAATGCGCTTTAGTGGTGCAGGAGTCAACACTTTGTTTCTTGCATAGTCATCATTTTCCAACCCAATTCTCTTATAGAGATTACGATAGAGATGATAGTAAGTTCTAAAAGATCTGTGATGTCGATGAGGTTGACGTCATGACCTATTAAACTGGTGGTTCTCGTTTAGCATCAAAATTGGCATACTTTTTCACTGCGAAGTCTAACATGGCGCTCAAGTGCTGTAGTGGAATCATAAATTTTTTCCTTATAGTCTTTGAATTTTCCAACTCCGGTAGTCCCAATTATCTGATAGAGACTGTTGTTGCAAAAAATAGCACGGCTTGGAGCCGGGGGTACAATGAACTGCCAAAAAAAAAAAAAAAACAAGTGACGACTGGCATGGTGCCGACCGAGGATACTCTGACAGTCAAGTTAGTGCTTGAGCTATAAGTAAAAAAAAAAAAAAATGACTTGGTAGTTAATTTTCACGTATATTTTCAGGTTAATCAAACTAACTTCTACTTCCTTGAATTTATCTATGCCCTTTAGGCATCCACGTCACTTGGATTTCTTAACCAATCGATTATTCCATATCAGAGAATAAAGAAAATGTTCCAAAAGATTCATGGCGTCCACGTCGTTGACGTCACTTATTAAAGGGTGAGCCGAGTGAAACTCTTAAAATCTAATTTCCCTTTTAGGACGAGCTCATCAAGTAAGGGATGAGTTCACGAAGCTCTTGAAAAAGGAAAATCAACCTCCTTTGTCAAAGGGTGAGCTCATGAAGCTCAGTAAAATCAACCTCTCTTGTCAAATGGTGAGCTCACAAAACTTAGGAAAATTAATATTAAAGAGGTGAGCTCACAAAGCTCGAGAAAACCTATACCCTTATTAAAGGGGGAACTCATAAAGTTCGGAATAGATGGTGTGAGCTCACAAAGCTTAAAAACCTAATTCTCTTAAAGCGCAAGGTCAAGAAGATTGGAAAAGCTACTATCTAAAATAAAAATAATAATAAGAAGGAAGAAGAATAAGAGATGTTTACCTTACAATATTCCCGATGCTCGATAAGCAAGAGCTCAGGAATGGGGGCAACTGATAAGGTAAAAGATGACAACAATTCAAATTCAAATAAAAAAAGATTAACTAGTTGAAATTCAAATAGAATAACATGTCATTTTAAATTTAAATGTAGATGACGAGCTGATGAATTCCCCAAATAAACTCTCCCAAATCACAAGAAGTTTAGATCTTCAACTGGTTATAAATGTGAGACTGGTCAACCAATCTGTTATGAGAAATTAAATGCATAATTTATTCCTTTAATATACAATCTTGACTTATGGCCGATACCCCTGTTGGTGCCCAGTTTCGGTCACCATCCCTATTCTTTTGTAGGAATGGAGTTCTATTCCGGGTCGTGCAGATTTATGCTTCCACATCTCCCAATTTAACATTTGCAGTTGAGTAAGCTCATGAGAAGAGTTACGAACTTCCCATATTTAGCCAATGTGTTGAAAGATTTATTAAATAATTCATTTGACTTTTCAAATATCTCAAAAATATTGTTTCAATTCATTGGTTAAACACGGGAACTCATGATTCTTTTCATGAGTAGGGATGGAAACAAGATTTCAGTTCAAGGGGTACAATGTACTTAATAATAATAATAATAATAATAAAATCAACTAAACGGACTTATGATTGTGTAGTGCAATATCTAATAAAATGGGGTGGTAGTTGTGTTAGGTTAAAATATTAGGCATGTTGATTTTTTAATATACAATATTGACTCACAATTGATATTGGACATGTTGGTTTGATTATGGCCTAATATACCAATTCAAGTAGTGCTATATAATTTATTTCTTTTTGAAAATCACATCAAATTCGTAAAAAACATTCATACTAACTTGAAAATGGAGTTTGTTGGAATTTTATTTATAAATGATTGATGTTAGAACACTTTCCTTAAACAAATATGGCCAAAATAACCTATTAAAAAAAATTAGTATTTGATTGAAGAAAGGAAATACAAATTTAGTTGAAGAGAATAAATAAATTAGGTGGCTTCCCAGATAGCTTAAGAGCATTACTCTTTTTCATTTATGCCTCTTGGTAGGAACAATCAAATTCCGCGCAAAGTATTTTCAAAGTAAATATACACAAAGACTGTTATATATTCTACTTGGTACAATAAAATAAAGAATTTAAAGTTGTTAGCTTCTTCCTTCCAACTGATGCATGGGTCTTGAAGTGATTATTTTTTTTAATTTTTTTTAAAATTTTTTTTTTTATAGCATTTTTAAGATTTCCCAACACTTAAATCTTTAACAAATGTGTTCAATAGTAGTAACTATAATAGTGATCCTTTTTTTAAATTTATTATTATTATTATTATTATTTTAGCACATGTAAGATTTTTCAAAGGAGACTTTGAGGGCTGGAGGACTTTTTGGCTTGAAATTTTCTTTTTGAGCTTGGCAATAGTTAGTAGTTTGTTGGGAAGGGGGGAGTTGAAACTATAATTAATAGGCTTGATCCTTTTACCACTGGAGCAACACCTCCACACCTAATTCTCTTCACTTATTTTTTTGTTATATTTGTTCCATATTTATTTCCTGATTCTCTTGTTTGGCAACAGAAATTGCATGATTCTAGTTCTACGGTGAAGAGTTTAGAACCCACCAGTGACGAGGATTGCGGTGCTCTGAACAGTGCGAACTAGAACAGAGCTTCACAGAAGGGTCGCCTCCTTTGATTTTATGGGGGTATTTTAGACATTTTAATTGCTAAATTGGCATAAAGTCCTTATTTGCACAATTTGAAACGGTAGGGGGTTTATTACACATCTTGTATATAATGAAGGGGTTTTGTACACTTAATATTTCATTGGAACCTGATTCCCTTACTTTATTCTTTATTTGTTCGTTGTTTGATCTTCTCTTGACTTATTTTTCGTGATCCTCGTATTCTTCAATGTATTGAAACCGAGTAAGCACTTATTCTTTGCTCTCTTGATTGAAGAGTGCAATGCGTGCAATCTACTTCAGACAAGCAAGAGTGCATTGCACTTCTCATTGATGGCATTCGGGGACTCATAATCAGAATGGTTAGTAAACTTGGAAAGGAGGTTGAGCTAGTTGGGGTGGGGTTGCAACCCGGGGGGTCCCAATCCCAAAAGTTTTGGGTTTAGTGTCACGGATTTGGACCTTGTGTGGCACCTGTGTGGCGTAACATTAGTTTATGTAAATTTCAATTTGGTCCGTGTTTGAGTTGAAATGTAAGAATCCAATTTCATTTTGGGCAGGACTTGTGTGTGTGAAGGAATCCGATGCCCAACCTGAATTACAAAACCCGACAAATCCGGACTATAAACCCTATATAAATAAATATATGTATATATATTTGTGTTGGTTGCATGTGATTCGTTTATTTAGGGGGGTCCACTTAATTGAATCAGACATATTGAACTTATTAATTTTTGATATATTTGTTATTATGTCAAGCCAACATTTTTAATTATTTAGTTGTGAAATGGTTAAGGTCATTGCATTTGTTATAACAACAACAAAAATTTTAATCTGAGTTGGAAGCCTGAATTCAACTTGAAATTTCAGCCCGACTTGATCGTACAAAATTAAGAATTGGTTGCCTTTTGGGTTGATGGTCGGGTCGAGTCGGGTTGGGTTTGATATGAAGATTTTATACTTCAGAGCCTCCAACTCATCCGAATTGCATCCCTATTTGGGGGTTTAATCAAAGGCTCCCATGTACAGACATCTATGCTTGACCTTCAATCCAAGCTCTCCAACCGGAATCTAATTCACATTTAAAATTGTGAATTCAAGTTGGAAAAATCAAACTGAAAATCGAGATTAATTTAGGTTAGTCCCGAGTTGGGTTACTCATTCACAAAATATATTTAGAAACTGAATAATTATATAAAAACTAATGAGCAAATTCTCAAAAAATAAATACTCCAAAGGGTTAATCCAATAAGAGAGAGAGCAAAGTTGTTATTAATGAGAAAAGGTACTCAAAAGCTTGAGAATTACAACTATTTACAACCGGGAAAAAACCCTAAAAAATTTAGCTAATAGCAAAAAATCTCTAAAGATCATTAAAAAGTACTAGTTTTGCATCTAAATTGATCAAGCTTCCAGAGTAATTGTCTCAGATTAGTGGTTAAACGCAGCATTTGCATTGATTGTACATCTTACACATATTAATTACTTTTTATCTCCTTATTACAATACTTAAGAACATTCCCCAACACACATACATATATATCTAAATTATACTTCTCAAGCATCCCCATGATACATAGGTAAGAAATGGTTTTTCAGGAACTGGTATGCACTTCACAACCCAAGCAAGAGGCCAGGACATTGCTGCTAATACAATGCACAAACCCCATTGCAGCCAATTCAGCCTTTTTGTATTTGCAAATTTCTGTAAAAACTCCACCATTATAACCTGAAGAACAACAGTTAATGCCACTATCCAGAGAAACAACTTGTTCTTGTGTATCCCTTTGAAGACATTCTTCTTCTCCATTTTCCTAGCATTAAACTCATTGAAGACTTGACAAAGAACAAATGTGTTGAAGATAAGGGTGTTCTTTACCTCTAAGTTCACATTGAAGATAGGCTGTCCTTTAAATTGAAGTATTAAGAGGATCAAGATTTGATAGAGTGCTTGAGAAATGAGGTTCCTCCACATGACATTGGTCACAAGTGGCTCTACTCGACCCACCGGCTTTTTCTCCATGAGTTCATCAGTAGGCCTCTCTGTGGCCAGAGCTAGAGCCCCCAATGTGTCCATGATCAGATTAACCCACAACAATTGAACTGCCGTTAGTGGGACTTCACCAGCAGAACATGCTGCAACCAAGTTGATCACAAGGGCGGCGACATTGACAGTGAGTTGGAATTGAATGAACTTTTGGATATTGTTATACACACATCTCCCCCATTTCAATACAGTCACCACTGAAGTGAAGTTGTCATTCAAAATGACAATGTCTGAGCACTCCTTAGCCACTTCAGTGCCTTGAATGCCCATAGACAGTCCAACATCGGCTTCTTTTAGAGCCGGTGCATCATTTGTGCCATCCCCTGTGACCGCGACAACATGGCCTTTCTGCTTCAAGCACCGCACCATTAAAAGCTTATCAAGTGGGGAAGATCTTGCCATGATGCGAATTTTTTCAACCCGGTCCATCCTCTCATCCGGAGTATAGTTTCGAAATTCTACACCTTCCACTACTTCCCTGTCATGCATGGTTTGATCTGATCCAAGTATCCCACATTCAATGGCTATAGCTCTTGCAGTGAAAATGTTGTCACCTGTGATCATCTTTATATCCACTCCAGCATTTCTGCAAATTTGCACAGCTCTTTTCACCCCAGGCCTACATGGGTCCTTCAAACCAACTATGCCTAAGAAAATCAAGTTGTCTTCATTTAATTCTATACGTGTCTTGCCATCATCAGTGGAACGTGACTTTGGCTCTATAATTTGTTTATGAGCAAATGCAATACATCGAAGGGCTTCCGCAGCCATACCTGTTAGAGAACATAAATAATTGAAATTGAAACATGTGTTGAACATAAAGAAAGTCATATGCACCAATAATTGAAATTGAAACATGTGTTGGATATAAAGAAAGTCATGTGTGAGAGTGCGTGAGTATTAGAGAACAAAAAAATTAAAGTCACATCTTTTCTAATAGCTATAGCTTTTATAGTAAAAATTGATAAACAATACCTTCAATTATTCGCTTGATCTCATCTCTCTCGCCATCATCCAAGGGTTTGATGATGCCAGACTTGTCGTAGTAACTTGAACACATGGCTAGTATCATTTCAGCAGCTCCTTTCCAGTGGACATGGAAAGTGTTGTCAATCCTACTTTTTATTAGAACCCCACTTCGTTTCTTTTGCGAATTAAAGGTCTCCACATGGGAGATGACATAATTTTGTTTCAATTCTTCGACATTCATGTCTAATTCTTGGACAGACCAAGAGAGGATAGCTTTTTCCGTTGGACTGCCAGAGAACTCTGATTCAGACCATTTGGTGGCTTTGTAAAGAATAGCAGTAGTGTTCTGGCTCACTCCTTGGTAGAGCAATTCAAGAGCATTAAGAGATACTATGTCCCTAAAATTGCCTGTAATGTGATCTTTGCCTAGCACAAATTTGGTCACCTTCATTTTATTCATGGTAAGTGTACCAGTTTTGTCAGTGCAAATGATGGTTGCTGAGCCCATTGTCTCACATGCCGAGAGTTTCCTAACCATTGCTTGATCAGCCATCATTCTTTTCATAGAATAGGCCAAAGTGAGTGTCACTGCCAACGGCAAACCTTCAGGAATCGCGACAACAATAATTGTCACCGCGGCTGCTATAATACGTACCATGGCATTCATAATATCATCAAATTTGGTACTTTTACCATTGAATTCACGATTTCCTTTATCATCTTCTGTATTCCCTGTGAAGTAACGAGCTAGCAGCACAAGAAGAACAAGAAAAGCAACGACCAAACCAACCTTTCCGATAGAGGAAGTTAATTTGTTGAGTCTTGACTGCAATGGAGTTTGCTCTTTCGAGTCATGGCTTATGGAGCTCATCATCTCACCCCACAAAGTGTTCATCCCCACTGCTGTGACAACCATCCGGGCATACCCGTTCGCTATCTTGGCTCCGGAAAATAAGAATGGATTGACATTTTCATCAATTTCGACGTGGTTGCTCTCTCCTGTCATGCTTGATTCGTCTACTTGTAAGGAATGGCCATACAAGAACAACCCATCAGCTGGAATTTGATCTCCAATTTTCAAGTTCACAACATCTCCAACTAAAATATCAAATATGGAGATTTGTTGAGGCCTTCCATTTCTCGTGACTTCAACTTGAATATTGTCACTAACTTTGGACAATTCATCAAATTGTCTTGATTGCCTGAAGTTAGTCACCGCTGATACCACCACCACCAAAAGGACAGCGAAAAGAATGCTCGAGCCGTCATACCAACCCTCCTTTATCCCATTTTCTTTAATGCCAAAGGCAAGAGAAAGAACTGCACATACTAGAAGGATAATAATAGTGGCATCTTTTATGGCTTCCAACAAGAAATGAAGAAAGCCTTCTGGAGGTGGCTTGTGGTAAGTGTTTGAACCAAAGGCCTCGCGTCGCCTTTTCACATCTTCACCAAAGCCATTGATTCCATTATCAGCATGACTTTCAAGATTAATCACTATGCCTTCTACCCCACCAAGTTGGCGAAGAAGATCAAAGCTCTTCTCCTTCACCATCTTTACTAGGCTTGCTGGTTCGATGTTGTAGTGGTGATTTTGATCATTTAAAATGTGATAATCAATGCGTTGATTCACTGATGGAGTCTGAAAATGATTTGAGAGAGAGGGGTCTTGAACAACAATAAGATAAAACATTGTTAAATTTTCATAATAAATAATTTTTGAGTAGTGCTATTTGACGGGACAAATACAAAACCCATGTATACTTCACTGACTTCATGGGATAGTGTAAAAATAAGTAATTTAAAACCAAAATATAAAATGCCTTTCAAAACAAAAACCTCCAAAAATAAATTAACAAAAATAACTCTCTTATCAACAGGCCCGTGGTCTAGCAGTACAAAATTCCTACTTTTTAAAGGGACGTTAGGGGTTCAAACCTCAGTGGAGGCAGTGTGTGTGAGTTCCGACTAAGAAAAATAAAAATAAAATAAAATAACTCTCTTTACTTACTACAAAAGAAAAAAACAAAAATAAATTCCAAAGAAAGTAACAATTAAAAATTTAACAAAACAATAACTATGATAAAAATAAAAAAATAAATAAAAAACACAAACAAATTAATAAAATATGAATTGAAATTCTTCAATCATGGATTTTTGTTGATATTCAAAACTAGGGGTGCATACGGTTCGGTTTGGACCGGTTTAAGAGTGTTTTGGAATCAAACCGAACCATTTGACCAAAGGAACCAGACCAAACCAAACTGTGAAAAACCGGTTCGGTTCGATTCCATTTTTTTTTACGGAAGTATTCATATTATATCACATGCACAATAATAAACCAAGTTAGCAACGCATTCAGAACTATTAATATATTCAGAACTTTTAATTCATTCTTCTCTATCACTTCTGAAATTGAAGTAAATAAATTCAAAATTGGTAATAACCTAATACATTTAGAATTACTATTTCAGCAATAAACAATCAGTCACAATTCAATTCAGCCACTTAAAAAAAAAAAAAATTATTTAATAAATTGATAATACCTAAGATAATTAAAAGTGGACCATATGATTGATAGTTGTTATAAACTTTTAAATGATTTGGATTGTAGGATTATATTATATATATTCTATAAATTAACATATATATAAATAATTATATATATATATATATATATATATATATATATATATATATATATAATGGTTCGGTTCGGTTCGGTCTAGTTCGGTCTTAAAGGACCTCAAATCATGTCCAAACCATATCTTTACGGTTTCATAAATTTAGAATCATGAACGAACCAAACCATTAGCAAACCAAAGCAAACTGTCCGATCTGGTTTGGATTTTTGGTTTGACCGGATTTTTGTGCACCCCTAGTCAAAATTAATTTCTTATAGAATTCTTATAAAAGCATTCCAATACATTTAAGATATATGCAAACTTAGTTTGTGAAAATGAAAAATATATATATGGAAAGAGTTTGTTTATGTATTATTCTAACTACATTTGAAAAAAAAAAAAAAGAAGAAGTGATGGAAAGAATATGTATGAGATTGAATTTTAGAATAATAAGGGTATTGAAAGAATCGTGTTAGAGTTGGAAGTAGGGATGACAATTTGCCTCGCGGAGACGGGTACCTACCCTACCTTGCCCTATTTATAGCTGTTTTGGGGAACTGTTTAGTATATTTGGGCGGGAATGGTTTTTATTAATGAAAACCCGCGCGGGTTTGGGACGGGGGTAGGTTACCTTGTCCCGTTTAGGTTAGTAAATTACTAAATTATACTTATTTTATTAGTATATATAGTTAGTTTTAGAAACCTTAATTAGGTCACATTCACCCAATACTTTCTCAACCGTTCTAAAGAGCGACAGAGCCCTACGAACTAAGAACACTCATACCCTTAAATTTTATGTTAAATTATTGATTGTCTATTTTTTTTGAATTTTTTCAATAGTTATATAATTGTATTTGAAGGGAAAAATAAAAAATGTGGAGAAATTATGGAACTAAACGGGGCGGGACGGGTGCCCATGGGGATGAAAAAGTTAAACGAGGCGGGGATGGGGTAGAAAGGCCCCCAGTTTAGGCGGTTTTGGGAGGGGACAGGGCGGGAGTTTCTAAACGATTGCGGGGGCGGGAGAGGGTACACTCGCCGAAAACTGCTCCCGTTGCCATACCTAGTTGGAAGGATTTTAGGATAGAGATTATGGAAAGAATTGTGTTTGAGTTAAAATTTTAGGATAGCCGCATTAGATTTTTATGTCAGTCGGTTTTTATTGGGATTTTATAGTCGTCAATTAAATCATTTTTCATAATTTTTTTGACATTAGTTAATATTTCCATTGAAAATGTAAAAAAAAAATATACTAATAAATAAAAGGTAAACTACCTTAAAAACCCTATGATGCATTGTATGACTCTAAATTGATTAAGTGTGTAACTCCTCGCCTGGTTCTTAAATACATGGCCCTAAATTGACTAATTGATTGTCTTTTACTTTTTTTTTTTCTTTTATAATTTTCTAAAAATAAATAAATAAATAACTTGAATATGGAATGAGTCGTATATGGGTTAAAATTTATAATAAAATTTAACAAGCATAATATGTGAAAAATGAGTTAACATCATGACCTACAGAATAGTTTTGACAAAAATAAATAAATAACACAAATATTGTTGAATGAGGGCTACTAGAGGTTGAAATTACCATGAACATAACTTAGATAGAAAGAACTAAGTTGTATTATAGCAAATGGAATAAATCATATTACATCTTCGTCGGCTCTCTATATAATTTTGAGTTTGGTTTATAATAATAGATGTCATGTCTGACGTAAAGTGAAGAAAATGCAACTAATAATGGAATATTAGAATATGTAGGACTAAATGAATTATGTTTGGTTAACGGATTTAGTTAAGAAAAGAAAAAAGAAAATAGAATGAAAGGGAAAAATAATTTTTCAAAGGAATGCAAAAGCCTTTTTATAAGAAAATGGGGTATAACCATCATATTGGAGAGTACTTTCAGTATTAATAAAAGGTATCAATCATGTGCTTCACAATATGGACAGAAAGTGTTTAGAAAGTGGTCGGATGTGAAATGCAAAGGGGCACGTTGCTCACTTTGAAAACTATTTGGACTAGCTTACTCCCTTTTATACCACATGAGATTATTATGCTCATTTGATGAAACTTTGAGCTTTTTCTATTTTTATTTTTTGCACTTTTGCCAATTAAACATTAAAAGATTAGTGAAACAATAAACAAGTTTTGAGAAAGAGGTAAACAAGTGACAAGTTGAAATCTCCTCATGTATGTATGTGTGTGTGTGCGCACGCACGCTCGTGTGTATATATTTAGAATTGTATAGTTATGATAAAATTTTAATGACCTTTCGGTAGGACTATATAATTATTTTTATTATTCGAAAATTTAAACAAACACACGCATCTAATATATATATATATATATATATATATATATGTATATGTATGTATGTGGGTGTGTTATATATGTTTTCCATTGAAGTTCGAACCTTCAACCTTCTCATTTGGAGAGGAGCTAGAACTTATACCATGTGGGTTAATGCCCATTGGCAAGATTATATAATTATGATAAAAACTTCAGTGACCATTTTTTTTTTATTTTTATAAATGTTGGTCCTAAATACAACAATAATTAATAAAAAATTCAGCTGGGTAGCTGCCCCCACTGGGCCCTTCTTACCTCGTTCTTGGCTTGGATTGATGTCGAGGATGGTATGAGTGTTGACTACAATTTGTTTAGCAAGCTGAGAAAGCAGAGCGCGAGTAGAATAGATTACTGCAAAAGCGTAGCGCCATCGCCTTCTGGGCTTTCTGAGCTCCATGGTGGCGGGGATGTCAACAACTAGTGGAGTCGAATCATGGGAGGAGGACAATGAACGAAGACGGGGCTCGTTAGGATTTTTCGAACAACTAGCCAGTGAAGCCAACATGTTGTATGAATAGCCAAATTAAGCAAGACCAACAACATAAACTAAATGTGAAGACTCTGAAGTTTGTTTGTGCCTTCAAAGACTTGTGTTTCTGCTATGCAACTTTTCTCTAATTAACATGGATATATATAGAAATTTGGTATTTACCTATAATCTGTTCCTTTCAACTTTGCTGCGTTTCCAAGTAAAGTTTGTTCCCTCAATACATATATATATATTTATATACACGCGCTTTGTTGGAACCAACGTGGCAAAACACAAGAGTACAATAAATTAAGAAATAACACACACTACCCTGAAAAGAACGGACTAATCTACAACGATAGAGTTCTTCTGTAGATATATATATATATATTTTAAGCAAGAAATACACAACACTCACACACTTTTGTTTTTTTGGGAGTTTCGAACTTTCACTATTCATTTTAAGAGATAAAAAAATATTACTAGGTTTCTTTTAATTTTTTAATTTTTTTTTTCTTACTTCTTTTATCTAACCAAAAAGAGCCTAAAGATAATTTTTGTTTGGCTTTTCTATTTTTACCTGTAACTTTTTTTCCTTCTCTAATTTTTTTTTTTTTTTTTCAATCAGTTTTTCATCTTTATTTATTTAGGTTTCATTTTTTTTTTTTTTTAATTCTTTGATTATATATATATATATATCTGATAATGATAGCGTGTTCCGTGTTGTTGTTTTTTATTTATTATAAAAGATCATGTGTTTCATGTATTTTTTTCAAAAGGTTAATGTGATTCATGTTTGGTCAACAAACAATGGGATTGAAAGAAGACGGCCCCACGTTTTAAGTGTCTACGAGCAGGGAAAATGAGGTAAGACATCGCACAACACGCATCACGGTTCAAACTTTCTGTTCGAAAAATCCACTCAAAACTAATAAACATTGACTCAAAAAATTTGTTAGGGACTCGGTAGACGGCTTCACGTTTGGTTGAAGGAATAAAAAAATGGATGGATTTGAGAAAGAAGGAGAAGGGAAGAGGCATTCTTATAGAATGGAAAATGTTTTTCTCATTTTTTTATTTTTATTTTGATTGGATGTAATGGATTATAGAAATGATAGATGTAGTGACACATTTTTTATTTTTATTTTATGTTATTGAAAGGAAGGAAAATTTTATTTTTGTATTATTTTTACTAATACACTCTTATTATTTAAAACCCTACAAATTCTATATATATTTCAAATTAGGTAAATTATACTTACCTCTTTTAAAATTTCGTCAATATATACCGATCTTCCCTTTTATTTACTAAATTACATGAACCTTCCTGAAATTTATATTTTTATAACACATAACAACCATCCATTAATGGCAATTATTGGTCAACGTGGTCAACCTTTCCAATTGCTTTATTGTACCTAAATTGCCCTTTTAGTTGTTGTAGAGACAAATTTGACCTTTCTTACTCAAGTAATATTACGTAAACACCCTGCCCTCTTCTTTTACTTTCCTTTGAACATATTACTATTATTACATATATATATATATATGCATAAGTACATACGTACAGATATATGGGCTTTTAATTAACTAATGGGTTTGAATTATATCTTCATCCTGCGGTTGATATTTGGTTCTAATGGTATGGATTGAAGATAAATTTCTATGTAAAGTTTAACAAGCATAAACTAATCTGTGTCTATATGGAAGAGGACCACCAAAGCATATATATGTATATATATTTCGTGTTTCATGGTTACTGCTTATGATCTCTGCCTCCCCTTGTTCCTTAGTGTGTGTGTGTATATATATATATATCATTTGCTTTGAACTTTTGAATTTGTTTTTCCTTCATTAATTATTATAGCTATGTTTGCTTTTCTCTCTGGATATGAGAGAGATGAAGAAGGAGAAGTAGTCAAGTAGTCAATGGGAGTTTAATCGCGCTAGGTGAAAAGTAAGATATTTTTTTGTTTTCTCCTGAAAAGTAAAAATATATATATGGGCATTTTGGACTTTGAAATTTTGTAATAAAATACCATATATATTAAGGACAAATACAATACATATTAAGGATATAAATGTAATTACATAGGAATAGTTAACGCCATCCAACCAATAGGTCTGACAAAGGAGGTTCATGTAATTTGACAAAATTTGACAAACAAAAGAGGAGGTCAATGTATGTTGACGAAACCTCAAGAGAGGTCAGTGCAATTTACCTGCCAAATTTTTAAGAAGATTAGAAATTAAAAATACATGTTAGTTAATACTTTTTTTCTCTCTCTTAATTTTGGGCTAATAAAAAAATATAAGGGTAAATTAGACAGACACTCCATAAAGTTAGGTCATATCCTACTTAGATAAAAATTTTGTTTTTAACTTTGACTTACATCTTAATTTACTCTTTAGCCAATTACGCATATCATACGAACTGATTTTTTATTCTTAATTTTTTAATACAAAATATATATAATCTTAAATAATAAAAGACCCCTATATATAATAGGATAAAGTACACTAAACCCTCGAAGTATGAGTTGATTGCAACAAACTCCCCTGCAGTAAGCAAAACCTTTCAAACTATCATTTTGTTGCAAACGGTGAAGTTGCCGTTAACTAAAAAGAAAATTACAGTTTAGCCCTTAGTGTGTTTTCTCTTCTGGTTTGAGCCGGTTGTCACCAGTGGAGCAAGCCGTCAAAGTCGCTTCTTGGTGCTTCTCGCCGGGCTCTTGGGAGTCTCTCTTGACCTAATATAGATAGAATCTTGGTCGGAATCACGAAGTGGGACTCGTCACCGCAGAAACTGGCGCGTTGAAACTGTGTGTTTTGGGTGGTATTTGTTCGGTGCTTCGCCGGAGTTAGGTCTTCGTTATAGAGCTCGCCGTTGCTCGGACCTTGTGGTTCAGTTCACTAAAGCTATTCATAATGTTCTGAATTTGATTTCCTAGAGAGAGAAAGTGAGAAGAAAAGAAAAATCCTCTGAAATGTCTTTGTATACACTTCTCATTCCGAAGAATTCAAAGTA